ATGTGTACATATATAAGTGTGTGTGTGTATGTATGTGTATGTGTATAAAGTATATATGGAAGCTGATCAGAATTACATTTCACCTTTGTAAATGCACATTAATGACACTATGTAAAAGACACATCGAACACTTTATGTAGGGCATACGTAAATCCGTGTATCTATGTATTTACGTATGTAGGTTAGCTTAGCATTTTAAAAGCCCCGAATCACCTTCTGTGGTTGAGTGTTCAATAAACCCTTGAACTATATGTTTAACACTTCTCTAACCCTGTCCATGGAGGACAGAAGCAAATGTATATATGCTGGTTAGCATTGTAAATGTCTGGCCACGTCTGTGGTAGAAAAATAATAATAATAAAAAAAATCTTCATCACTGTAACCATCTACACTACACACTCTTCATCACAGTAACCATCTACACTACACACTCTTCATCACTGTAACCATCTACACTACACACTCTTCATCACTGTAACCATCTACACTACACACTCTTCATCACAGTAACCATCTACACTACACACTCTTCATCACTGTAACCATCTACACCGCACACTCTTCATCACTGTAACCATCTACACCGCACACTCTTCATCACTGTAACCATCTACACTACACACTCTTCATCACAGTAACCATCTACACTACACACTCTTCATCACTGTAACCATCTACACTACACACTCTTCATCACTGTAACCATCTACACTACACACTCTTCATCACTGTAACCATCTACACTACACACTCTTCATCACAGTAACCATCTACACTACACACTCTTCATCACTGTAACCATCTACACTACACACTCTTCATCACAGTAACCATCTACACTGCACACTCTTCATCACTGTAACCATCTACATTGCACACTCTTCATCACTGTAACCATCTACACTACACACTCTTCATCACAGTAACCATCTACACTACACACTCTTCATCACAGTAACCATCAACACCACACACTCTTCATCACTGTAACCATCTACACGGCACACTCTTCATCACTGTAACCATCTACACTGCACACTCTTCATCACTGTAACCATCTACACTACACACTCTTCATCACAGTAACCATCTACACTACACACTCTTCATCACAGTAACCATCAACACCACACACTCTTCATCACTGTAACCATCTACACTGCACACTCTTCATCACTGTAACCATCTACACTACACACTCTTCATCACTGTAACCATCTACACTACACACTCTTCATCACAGTAACCATCTACACTACACACTCTTCATCACTGTAACCATCTACACTACACACTCTTCATCACTGTAACCATCTACACTACACACTCTTCATCACAGTAACCATCTACACTGCACACTCTTCATCACTGTAACCATCTACACTGCACACTCTTCATCACTGTAACCATCTACACTACACACTCTTCATCACAGTAACCATCTACACTACACACTCTTCATCACAGTAACCATCAACACCACACACTCTTCATCACTGTAACCATCTACACTGCACACTCTTCATCACTGTAACCATCTACACTACACACTCTTCATCACAGTAACCATCTACACTACACACTCTTCATCACAGTAACCATCTACACTGCACACTCTTCATCACTGTAACCATCTACACTGCACACTCTTCATCACTGTAACCATCTACACTACACACTCTTCATCACAGTAACCATCTACACTACACACTCTTCATCACAGTAACCATCAACACCACACACTCTTCATCACTGTAACCATCTACACTACACACTCTTCATCACAGTAACCATCTACACTACACACTCTTCATCACTGTAACCATCTACACTACACACTCTTCATCACTGTAACCATCAACACCACACACTCTTCATCACTGTAACCATCTACACTACACACTCTTCATCACAGTAACCATCTACACTACACACTCTTCATCACTGTAACCATCTACACTACACACTCTTCATCACTGTAACCATCAACACCACACACTCTTCATCACTGTAACCATCTACACTACACACTCTTCATCACTGTAACCATCTACACTACACACTCTTCATCACAGTAACCATCTACACTACACACTCTTCATCACTGTAACCATCTACACTGCACACTCTTCATCACTGTAACCATCTACACTACACACTCTTCATCACTGTAACCATCTACACTACACACTCTTCATCACTGTAACCATCAACACCACACACTCTTCATCACTGTAACCATCTACACTACACACTCTTCATCACAGTAACCATCTACACTACACACTCTTCATCACTGTAACCATCTACACTACACACTCTTCATCACTGTAACCATCAACACCACACACTCTTCATCACTGTAACCATCTACACTACACACTCTTCATCACTGTAACCATCAACACCACACACTCTTCATCACTGTAACCATCTACACTACACACTCTTCATCACAGTAACCATCTACACTACACACTCTTCATCACTGTAACCATCTACACTACACACTCTTCATCACTGTAACCATCAACACCACACACTCTTCATCACTGTAACCATCTACACTACACACTCTTCATCACTGTAACCATCTACACTACACACTCTTCATCACAGTAACCATCTACACTACACACTCTTCATCACTGTAACCATCTACACTGCACACTCTTCATCACTGTAACCATCTACACTACACACTCTTCATCACTGTAACCATCTACACTACACACTCTTCATCACTGTAACCATCTACACTGCACACTCTTCATCACTGTAACCATCTACACCACACACTCTTAATCACAGTAACCATCTACACTACACACTCTTCATCACTGTAACCATCTACACTACACACTCTTTATCACTGTAACCATCTACACCACACACTCTTCATCACAGTAACCATCTACACTACACACTCTTCATCACTGTAACCATCTACACCTCACACTCTTCATCACTGTAACCATCTACACCACACACTCTTCATCACAGTAACCATCTACACTACACACTCTTCATCACTGTAACCATCTACACCGCACACTCTTCATCACTGTAACCATCTACACCGCACACTCTTCATCACTGTAACCATCTACACTACACACTCTTCATCACTGTAACCATCTACACCGCACACTCTTCATCACTGTAACCATCTACACTACACACTCTTCATCACTGTAGCCATCTACACTACTCACCACTTTTGCTTATAGCAACATTATCGCATCCTAATTAAGTTCGAGAATAATAATTTCAATATTAGTCCGAGGTTGAATAAACAGGATTTTTGTAACAAAAAGGATATCAACGTTTCTTGAAATTGTTATATATCATGGTTGTCATAGTAACCCACTTTATCGTATGACAGATATCGCCAGATCCAGTCCATGTATATATATACATTTTGTTTAATTTCATTGACCAACTTCCCTTATCAGTCTGATTAACTGATTTAAATCATTACAAAGAACGGAGAGTACTCGGTAAACTTATTCAGGTTTTGATGGTTAATAATTCTTAAATATTTTCTGAACACTAAATAATTATCCAGGTGGGTAGTGCCCACCTGGAACTACCAATTGGTAGTTCCAGGTGGTAGTTTTATCGTGGGCTGTTCCTGTGAGGCTCCTGTGAGAACACAGTATATAAGATGTTTGTTGATTATTCTTAAAAACATGATTCATGCTATATTATATTACATTTATTATAGATTTTATGTCATTAAGCTCTTCCCGTCTACCCCAGAAACACGCCCCTCCACCCCCCCTCCCTGGAAGCACAAGCCCAATACACCCAGCCTCCTCCCCCCCCCCCCCCCCCCCCCCCCCCCCCGCCCCAGGATACACCCTCCCAGTACACCTCACGTTCAACAATGAAACTTATTCAACATACACCCGCCATCTTCGTCCCCATCAATATAAGCGTAGCATCTTCCCCCCCCACACAGCGGGGTGGAGCACCAGACTTCACCAGTACACAAGACATCACCAGTACACAATACATCACCAGTACACCAGACACCACCAGTACACCTGACATCACCAGTACACCAGACATCACCAGTACACAATACATCACCAGAACACCAGACATCACCAGTACACAATACATCACCAGTACACAATACATCACCAGAACACCAGACATCACCAGTACACAATACATCACCAGTACATCAGACATCACCAGTACATCAGACATCACCAGTACACCAGACACCACCAGTACACCTGACATCACCAGTACACCAGACATCACCAGTACACAATACATCACCAGAACACCAGACATCACCAGTACACAATACATCACCAGTACATCAGACATCACCAGTACATCAGACATCACTAACCTTCTCCAACTCACATATCCTAAATTCCCTGAATTCATTACCAGTTTAAAAAGTCAAATTTTATGATAATTCATTTCTGGCTTCTTCAGTTCAAGTCATCTCTCCGTGAATTTTTGGAGCAAAGATTTTTCCTTGGTAATGGCAGTGAGTTATCTTAATAACAGCCCACTGCATCTCTGTGGGATGAAGATGTCTCAAGATGAGTTTTCAATCACTCAGATGCAGTGACTGAGCTTCCGAGCAATACTTATGAAATGTTTAAGATCATCACAAGTCCTTCGTCAGGGACTGGCAATGACTTGAGAGCATTGAAATGGTTCTATTTTCTCTTTGATCCACTGTGACGGTTCAGTATTTTATGCGAACCATTGTGGGGTTCTTTGCAATCTATGAACCACAGTCATAGTTATATAATAAGTGACCATTGTGGGGTTCTATATTATTTATAAATGACTGACGCTGTGATAGTTTTTCATTAAATGTGAACCACGGTATTGGCTCTGTATTTTCTGTGAACCACTAAAAGGTTCTATAGTATCTGTTAATTACTGTGGTGGTAGTTAAATCATGTGTTTTAACTGCTGTCATGACTCTGCATCGTCTGTGAACCACTGTGAGGAATGTGTGGTTCCTATGAACCACTGTGAGGAATGTGTGGTTCCTGTGAACCACTGTGAGCAATGTGTGGTTCTTGTGAACCACTGTGAGCAATGTGTGGTTCCTGTGAACCACTGTGAGCAATGTGTGGTTCCTGTGAACCACTGTGAGGAATGTGTGGTTCCTGTGAACCACTGTGAGGAATGTGTGGTTCCTGTGAACCACTGTGAGGAATGTGTGGTTCTTGTGAACCACTGTGAGGAATGTGTGGTTCCTGTGAACCACTGTGAGGAATGTGTGGTTCCTGTGAACCACTGTGAGCAATGTGTGGTTCCTGTGAACCACTGTGAGGAATGTGTGGTTCCTGTGAACCACTGTGAGGAATGTGTGGTTCTTGTGAACCACTGTGAGCAATGTGTGGTTCCTGTGAACCACTGTGAGCAATGTGTGGTTCCTGTGAACCACTGTGAGCAATGTGTGGTTCCTGTGAACCACTGTGAGCAATGTGTGGTTCTTGTGAACCACTGTGAGGAATGTGTGGTTCCTGTGAACCACTGTGAGCAATGTGTGGTTCCTGTGAACCACTGTGAGCAATGTGTGGTTCCTGTGAACCACTGTGAGCAATGTGTGGTTCCTGTGAACCACTGTGAGCAATGTGTGGTTCCTATGAACCACTGTGAGCAATGTGTGGTTCCTGTGAACCACTGTGAGCAATGTGTGGTTCCTGTGAACCACTGTGAGCAATGTGTGGTTCCTGTGAACCACTGTGAGCAATGTGTGGTTCCTGTGAACCACTGTGAGCAATGTGTGGTTCCTGTGACCACTGTGAGCAATGTGTGGTCCTGTGAACCACTGTGAGCAATGTGTGGTTCCTGTGACCACTGTGAGCAATGTGTGGTTCCTGTGAACCACTGTGAGCAATGTGTGGTTCCTGTGAACCACTGTGAGCAATGTGTGGTTCCTGTGACCACTGTGAGGAATGTGTGGTTCCTGTGACCACTGTGAGCAATGTGTGGTTCCTGTGAACCACTGTGAGCAATGTGTGGTTCCTGTGACCACTGTGAGCAATGTGTGGTTCCTGTGAACCACTGTGAGCAATGTGTGGTTCCTGTGAACCACTGTGAGGAATGTGTGGTTCCTGTGAACCACTGTGAGCAATGTGTGGTTCCTATGAACCACTGTGAGCAATGTGTGGTTCCTGTGAACCACTGTGAGCAATGTGTGGTTCCTGTGAACCACTGTGAGCAATGTGTGGTTCCTGTGAACCACTGTGAGCAATGTGTGGTTCCTGTGAACCACTGTGAGGAATGTGTGGTTCCTGTGAACCACTGTGAGCAATGTGTGGTTCCTATGAACCACTGTGAGAAATGTGTGGTTCCTGTGAACCACTGTGAGCAATGTGTGGTTCCTGTGAACCACTGTGAGCAATGTGTGGTTCCTGTGAACCACTGTGAGGAATGTGTGGTTCCTGTGAACCACTGTGAGCAATGTGTGGTTCCTGTGACCACTGTGAGCAATGTGTGGTTCCTGTGAACCACTGTGAGCAATGTGTGGTTCCTGTGAACCACTGTGAGCAATGTGTGGTTCCTGTGACCACTGTGAGGAATGTGTGGTTCCTGTGACCACTGTGAGCAATGTGTGGTTCCTGTGAACCACTGTGAGCAATGTGTGGTTCCTGTGACCACTGTGAGCAATGTGTGGTTCCTGTGAACCACTGTGAGCAATGTGTGGTTCCTGTGAACCACTGTGAGGAATGTGTGGTTCCTGTGAACCACTGTGAGCAATGTGTGGTTCCTATGAACCACTGTGAGCAATGTGTGGTTCCTGTGAACCACTGTGAGCAATGTGTGGTTCCTGTGAACCACTGTGAGCAATGTGTGGTTCCTGTGAACCACTGTGAGCAATGTGTGGTTCCTGTGAACCACTGTGAGGAATGTGTGGTTCCTGTGAACCACTGTGAGCAATGTGTGGTTCCTATGAACCACTGTGAGAAATGTGTGGTTCCTGTGAACCACTGTGAGCAATGTGTGGTTCCTGTGAACCACTGTGAGCAATGTGTGGTTCCTGTGAACCACTGTGAGGAATGTGTGGTTCCTGTGAACCACTGTGAGCAATGTGTGGTTCCTATGAACCACTGTGAGCAATGTGTGGTTCCTGTGAACCACTGTGAGCAATGTGTGGTTCCTGTGAACCACTGTGAGCAATGTGTGGTTCCTATGAACCACTGTGAGCAATGTGTGGTTCCTGTGAACCACTGTGAGCAATGTGTGGTTCCTATGAACCACTGTGAGCAATGTGTGGTTCCTGTGAACCACTGTGAGCAATGTGTGGTTCCTGTGAACCACTGTGAGCAATGTGTGGTTCCTATGAACCACTGTGAGCAATGTGTGGTTCCTGTGAACCACTGTGAGCAATGTGTGGTTTCTATGAACCACTGTGAGCAATGTGTGGTTTCTATGAACCACTGTGATGACTCTTATGTTTTATATATACCACGGTAGTGGTTCTTTATTTTCTGTGAACCACCTGCGATGATTCTATATATTCTGAGGAACACAGTGGCGGTTCTATCATCAGTGAACCAGAATGCTTGCACTTGCATTTTGATGTTGTGGAGTGACTTGAAGCAACGTTCTTTTGGGCCTAAGACACCGGACATCACTAGTACATCACACCTTTGTGATGTCATTGCGAAGTGAAGCACAATGTTATCTATATTATCTGTGTACCACCTTCTTAACACTATATTTTATCTTAACTCTAATGATGATACATTATGTGTTCTCTCAGAGTACTCTTGCTGCAGTTACACTTGAGAGTGGAGGAAATCTTCCATCTTTCACTCAGAGATCCTATTAGTAATTAATAACTTAGAAATCACTGTTAGATGCAAACATGAAACTGTAATTCGTGGTGAACACACCTCAGCAAACAGGACTGGTAGCAGTGTGGTAGTGTAGTTTGTTCCTAAGTTCAACGACCAGCAGAGACACTCAACAATGCTCATGATTCTTGTAAAGGTTGACTTGATGAGCAGATTGTCCTTGGAACGGTTGTGATGAATTAAAATAAACTCATGGTTTGAGATGATTTAAGTGTCTTAAGTCGGATCATAGCAACATATACCTGGCCCTGAATGTTCACTTGCAACCTCAACACAGCGACATATACCTGGCCCTGAATGTTCACTTGCAACCTCAACACAGCAACATATACCTGGCCCTGAATGTCCATTTGCAACCTCAACACAGCGACATATACCTGCCCCTGAATGTTCATTTGCAACCTCAACACAGCGACATATACCTGGCCCTGAATGTTCACTTGCAACCTCAACACAGCGACATATACCTGACCCTGAATGTCCATTTGCAACCTCAACACAGCGACATATACCTGCCCCTGAATGTTCATTTGCAACCTCAACACAGCGACATATACCTGGCCCTGAATGTTCACTTGCAACCTCAACACAGCGTCATATACCTGGCCCTGAATGTTCACTTGCAACCTCAACACAGCGACATATACCTGGCCCTGAATGTTCATTTGCAACCTCAACACAGCGACATATACCTGCCCCTGAATGTTCATTTGCAACCTCAACACAGCGACATATACCTGGCCCTGAATGTTCACTTGCAACCTCAACACAGCGACATATACCTGCCCCAGAATGTTCACTTGCAACCTCAACACAGCGACATATACCTGCCCCTGAATGTTCACTTGCAACCTCAACACAGCGACATATACCTGGCCCTGAATGTTCACTTGCAACCTCAACACAGCGACATATACCTGGCCCTGAATGTTCACTTGCAACCTCAACACAGCAACATATACCTGCCCCTGAATGTTCACTTGCAACCTCAACACAGCGACATATACCTGGCCCTGAATGTTCATTTGCAACCTCAACACAGCGACATATACCTGGCCCTGAATGTTCACTTGCAACCTCAACACAGCGACATATACCTGGCCCTGAATGTTCACTTGCAACCTCAACACAGCGACATATACCTGGCCCTGAATGTTCACTTGCAACCTCAACACAGCAACATATACCTGCCCCTGAATGTTCACTTGCAACCTCAACACAGCGACATATACCTGGCCCTGAATGTTCATTTGCAACCTCAACACAGCAATAAAAAAAATCACATATACAGACCATTCAACTTTAACAATCGCTTAAATTGTTCCCAAACACCATTGATCACACCATCAAGTGGATCAACTCAGAGAGTAACACTAATATAACCGAATTCCTGTGAGAAATACTTCCATTAAACCAGCGTAAACAAATTTACTAATAGAAAGAACTAATCTCCACCAAGTAATATTATCATATAAGAAATTGGTAAGTCTAAAGCTACGCTTGATCTCGTCCATTAATATAATTACAGTGCGCTAAAGGCTTGCAGATCCCAACATGATACACCCAGCTCATAATACCTGACAATATTAATGGCCCAAAGAATAGTTATGATCAATTATTCTTTCAACAGCATTTCGGCATAAAGAGATAATTGATAAATAAGCAACAAAATATGATCTATACTATAAAAAATGGCTGCCTTTCTGGATTAAATGGATTAATATTATAATAAAAATAACAATATTGTTTATTCTCTTAATTGGGATGGTTTTGAAGTTTCAATATTAAACATATTTATGCTAAATTAGGTATATATATGAAACATTTCAAATCGGGTATTTTTGTGAATATTATGTACAGTTCCTTATAAATGTAGTTAATGAACCAAAAACCACAATTCGTATATCACTATTAACCAACCAACATATAATCTGGCCTCCCACGATAGTGGCGTCACCATTCTCTCCTCAGGAGTGGCTGATGGCATATTATTGGATTTGATTAGCGACATATGACGCTTTTAACTGTATCAATTTATGAAAATATATTTTGCTTATAAATCCATATAAGTATCAAAATTTGTTTCTTCTTTGGCTTCTATTATTTAATAAAACGATGAGCATTGTTATTATATATTAAAAGTCATTTTGAACGAGTGTTGAGCGCAAGGTTCCATCGTGTCATATAATATGTATTGCGTTTAAGAATATTTGTGTTCTCTAAAACTAAACTTTCAACACCAAAAATGGGGTTAACTCACGTATAGTCTGGGCTGAGTGTGACCGCTGGCTGCCACCACGTGTTGACAAATCTAAACAAGACCTAAATGAAGTATCACTCCCTATACCTGAACACTCCCTATACCTGAACACTCCCTATACCTGAACACTCCCTATACCTGAACACTCCCTATACCTGAACACTCCCTATACCTGAACACTCCCTATACCTGAACACTCCCTATACCTGAACACTCCCTATACCTGAACACTCCCTATACCTGAACACTCCCTATACCTGAACACTCCCTATACCTGAACACTCCCTATACCTGAACACTCCCTATACCTGAACACTCCCTATACCTGAACACTCCCTATACCTGAACACTCCCTATACCTGAACACTCCCTATACCTGAACACTCCCTGTACCTGAACACTCCCTATACCTGAACACTCCCAATACCTGAACACTCCCTATACCTGAACACTCCCTATACCTGATCACTCCCTATACCTGAACACTCCCTATACCTGAACACTCCCTATACCTGAATACTCCCTATACCTGAACACTCCCTATACCTGAACACTCCCTATACCTGAACACTCCCTATACCTGATCACTCCCTATACCTGAACACTCCCTATACCTGAACACTCCCTATACCTGAACACTCCCTATACCTGAACACTCCCTATACCTGAATACTCCCTATACCTGAACACTCCCTATACCTGAACACTCCCTATACCTGAACACTCCCTATACCTGAACACTCCCTATACCTGAACACTCCCTATACCTGAACACTCCCTATACCTGAACACTCCCTATACCTGAACACTCCCTATACCTGAACACTCCCTATACCTGAACACTCCCTATACCTGAACACTCCCTATCGCGGCAAAAGTGAATTATTCCCTATACAAAAACGTAGCAACTATACCTTGCCAGTGCGACCAGCTGATGTTATGCTGATCTTCTTGGAGAGGTGAAGGTGGATGACCTCTCCCGTTGTTGACCGAGACCATACTGATTCTACCTCGTTCTCCCCACTACTGAGGCTAGAGGGGTATGCCTACGCCAGGTTACTAGTTTACTAAGCAGGGTTTAAATTGAACAACTAATCCCTGTTGTACTGAACAACCCAGATGGTTGAACTCTTGTAAACTGCTGGTACTCGTTCAGGCATCTTAGGGAAAGGCTATTTACAATTACAATATGGCTATTTGACCTTTGAGAATTACTAAATATGGAGGGCTTTGGTGACCCTTGACCCAGGGTCGTCAAGATTCATCCAGAGGCTAGTCCTCTGCTAGTGACGTCACTGACGGTGACTTACTCAGTATTCCGACAATTGAGAATACTCTTGATACTTAAACAGGTATACTATTGAATACAATTTGAATGAAGACTTGAATTTCTCAAAATTACTGAATTCTGTTAAATAATCCATATAACGTTGCTTTAAGACAAAGGCGACGGTCATATTGTAATGTTAACCGGTAATCCCAGGAGAGATGACCCATGCTCCCGGGTCAGGTCGAGTACCGTCGGACTCCCAACTCTCCAAACCGCCGTAGTCTATGAGAATCTATACTGACTAATTCCCTACAACAAACCTAGTTTGTTAGTCTCATGATGAGGCAGGTGATGATAACAGCTCTACTGCCCTGTGAGGAACTCATCAGAGCTCACATGGTGAACAATATAGTCATCCCCACAGCTCTCCGTGCTGCCTCGCTCCATTCACTCATCACGGAGACTCACCTGGTGGGTCTCACCTGGTGATTTAGTGACTCAAACTTTAGAAATTGTCTTCAACATAAACGTTTATTGACTGGCGGCGGATTACGTCAGGTATCGACGCTTGCATTAATATATTTTTGTGGGAAAATGTGCGCGATTTACCAAAGTTTTCCCGCAAAGTTCACAACTTAGACATTTCCTTCTCCACCACTACAACCACACTACCTTACATTACACCAGTTGATTGACGGTTGAGAGGCGGGACCAAAGAACCAAAGCTCAACCCCCGCAAGCACAACTAGGTGAGTACATGCATGTAGCACTGTTGAAATGTTGTATTTCAAGCATAAGATCTGCCACTTAATCTTGTATATATAAGTTATCAGCTACAACTAAAGTGTGAAGACAGCAGTGCAACATTGCTGGGTCAACACACGGTCGTAGAGGAAGTTGACAGTGACGATAACTGACAAGTATCCATGATGATCACGTGTCGCGTTGATTGATGGGCGAGTCATCACTGACAAGTCATCAGAACTCCTCTCCACCACTCGAGGGTGGAGACACATGAGACACGGGAATAATGACACATACGTAGATATGTGTACTGGTGTTGTAGAGGTGTAGTGTGTCACATGAACGGTGCGGGTGTAGGGTGCACTCTCACTACACCCGTGAGTGTCCTACACCCTCCTCACAACACCCCTACAACCTCAGTGCTTTTCCCCCATTATCACCACAACAGCAGGGGAACCTCTCCCCAGCCCCCCCCCTCACCAAACACTCACCACCACAGCAGGGGAACCTCTCCCCAGCCCCTCCCTCACC